AAAAAAAATAAATAAGAGAAAATCTATCAAAAGATCTCGACGGACGCCGGGCACGACGCTGTTGTCGACGTCGCCGTCGTCGTTGAAGCGTATCCTGAGATACAGTCGTCCGTCGACTGACTTTCCCCCCTCCCCCAATGAATTTTGTACCGAAACGTGAAACTCTAAATGCTAATTTCATACACGGAATTTAATTTTTTCACGAGAAACATGTGCATTATAAAAAATAAATCTACCAAAAAAATCGCAAAAGTCACAAATCGAACATGCGTTTTGTTGTTTCATTCGATTTCCCGATTTCCCCCATTTATATCCCGATATTTCTTCATCACTTCGATTATCATCGTGTATACAACACGCTCGGAGAGCCCAAAAGAAATATATTAACAAAGAATGCACGAGAGTTTATTGAGGAAATAATTATGATTGGGTCGAGTGGAACGAGAATGCGCCGGTAAAAATTAAATTTTAAATGAAATTAACAGAGGAAAGTGTGCGTATACACTGATAAGTTTTATTCAATTATTCGTATCGATTTATCCTCCATAAAATTCCGAGATTTACAGGGTATTTGAAATAAAATGGCACGATCCACGGCCATGAAATTATAGACGGAATATTGCGAATTCGCCATTGAATATGAATCAGATATTTAATTTTTAATTCCGCCGCGGAGGAATTTCTGAGGTAATGCAATTGACGAGACCCCGGCGGAATTGTACGTACGCATTTCACATATGTGTAATTTCACACGGCGATGTTGATCGGAGCTCGGTAGAAGTTATAGGTATAATGCATTCCCGTCATGGAGAATTTCCAATAATACCAGTATTATGGCGGCACTTAATCACCTTTCGCAAGATATATAAATTAATTTTCCGTCCTAGCGTTAATCTCTCATATAGCAACGATCAGCAGTAATCATACCATAATTGACACAACGGATTCGGCTATGATATTACAGATTCATCATTATGAATTATAAATTGCCCGATCCGCCTATCGAGCGATATTCCTACATACTTAACGATTATGTTAAATTCTACGTATATCTGCAAAATGTCTTATCTACGCGAATCTTTAAGCATAGAGGAGGAATATTTTCTTTTTTATTTCGTATCGCTTTTAAACTTTAAAGCATAAAATATCAACAATAAGATCTGTTAGCATTATTTGAAAGCTTCCCAAATTTGTGCACTTGAGAGAAGATAAAGATATATTCGTTGAAAGAGAGTTGAAGAGAAAGAAAGCGAAGGAATGAATATATTTAAATTTATTGTTGTATAAAAAAAAAGAATTAAACATTAACAATTTCTTATATTTTGAAAAAATATTCTTATATATATATATATGATTACAGAAATAGTTTGAAAATTCGTTGATATACTTATATTTTCGACATATTGCGCAATGCACTTTCGAAAATAACAGCTCAACGTAGAACATTCAGCGATTGTCACGAATAGAAGAAAAAGATTAATGAATTATGTCGGATTTGAGTCTTTTAATCCGGATATATATATATAATATATGCCATACGTGAGGACGCAACCATTACATATATTTGGTAGTCTGTACGCATTTTTACCGTGATGATAAATATATATAAATATACGGTCTACCGAGAGAACGTCGTCCGCATATTTGAAAGAAAAATTATTTTACTAAA